GAAAAAGTTTTCTGGTCCTTGCTCTATAATATACCATTTGAAGCAGAATTGTCAGACAAAATTGCTGAAAAATTTTAAACAAGCAAGATAAAATGATTAAGAAGGTAAAGAAAGGTTTTTGTAATCTGAAAAAAAATGGGCAAGCATTTATTTAAAAAAAAAAAAGAACCATGTGGAAATAGTAGATATAAAAAAAACCCAAGGGGTGGATAGGTAAAGCAGGGAAACAGATAGGATATTAAGAGGGACACATATAAGAGAGAAATGAGGGGCGCCTGGGTGGCGCAGTCGGTTAAGCGTCCGACTTCAGCCAGGTCACGATCTTGCGGTCCGTGAGTTCGAGCCCCGCGTCAGGCTCTGGGCTGATGGCTCAGAGCCTGGAGCCTGTTTCCGATTCTGTGTCTCCCTCTCTCTCTGCCCCTCCCCCGTTCATGCTCTGTCTCTCTCTGTCCCAAAAATAAATAAACGTTGAAAAAAAATTTTAAGAGAGAAATGAATCACGAGGTGGACAAGCTAGCTGGGAAATGCTCTCAGGAGGCAGCAGGAGATGATAACAAAATAATAAAGAGAAAAATGAACTGATGCAAAGGAGAGAAGTAAAAGTGACAACTGCAACAGTGGGAACATAGAAATCCCAAAGGAAACAAAAATAAAAAGTTAGAAATATTTGAAGGAAAAATGGAGACACATTGTCCAAAATTAAAAGGAAGACAAAATACCTCAGGTATAAAGGCTTTATATCAATCAGCTACAGCTGCAGCCTGAAAATCTCAGTAGCCTATAGCAAAGCATTTACTCCTCCCTGACAAGTATGCAGAATCACAAAAACAGCTTGACTATGTTCAGAGAAGCCCAGAATTAAAATTGTCTAGGTAATATCAACATTATGATGGTGTGTGTGTGTGTGTGTGTGTGTGTGTGTGTGTATACTTGTGAGACCAAAGGGTTATGAGAGTTAGAGGCATGATCTTTTACAAAATCAACAACTGTAACTATATATTTCTCTAAAACCTACCCTAGAAATACTGCCTTAATTGCGTGGATTTTAGTGTGTATTATTCTGCTGTTTGCAAAGACATGCTCTGTACTAACTTACTCCTTACCATCATAGCTAACCACAGCAAGTGTCTAGTACACAGTGCATGGGTCTCAGGGCTGACTGCAGCTTGGCTGATTGTTGTCAAGCCATTCACAGGGTTGCATGTTCACTTGAGCCTGTCTTTTCTAATAACAAGCCCCACAGATATTCCCCCCACCACATCCCATTGGGGTCAGTGTTGTGGCTGGACTGGCCTTTCTGGTACCATTATGACAGAGGGACACACCTCAGCAAAATCATCAGAGAACTATGAATAACAAGTTTTATTACTCACAAGTCCTGGAGGGCATGTGACACACCTGGTGGCCACACAGAAAGGTCTCAGAGAGAGAGAGAGAGAGAGAGAGAACACACACAGACCTGGGGCTCCACCTTCATTAGAGGCTGAGGGAGAGGTATCCAGGGTTTCATGGGTTCACTCTTTATTAACAAATTTAAAGCAAAACAGGGGAGGTGGAGAGGCACCTGGCTGGCTCAGCTGGAAGAGCATGTGACTCTTGATCTTGGCATTGTGAATTCTAGATTACTTAATAAATTAAAAAAAACACTTTAAAAAAAGGAACGGGAAATGGAGCATGGGAAGGGAGAAGTGGGGTCATTCACATGGTCAGGTATCGAGGTCACTCAAGGCTCTCTGAAAGAAGGACCTTCATGGTGGGGTGGTCTGCTTCCTTATCTAGTTGTTTGCTAGTGGTTGTGTCTATAGCTGGCAGTGTTTATTTGAGATAGATGTCTTTCAAATGGATGCCTTGGCAACCAAAACTCAAGACAGGCACTCACATTACAATCAATAAGCTTAATGTCAGGCACTTATACTATCTGGTCTAGGAGGTGTGGTGGTGTGGCTCCACTTTAGGATGATGCAGCTGGGCTTGCTTTCATGTGGGTTCTGAACATTGTTCTGGGGCCTGGATTGGGTGTTCCTACATGACATATTCTCAGTCTATGTCCTAGGGCACCCCCTTACCTTGGAAAATGACCTGAGGACAAGTGGATAAAGGCAGTACATCTTCACATCTCACTATAATCCTGACACATGGTCACTTCTGCCTCCACTGCACAGGCCTAAACCAGTCATATGCCCAAATCCACCACAATGGATGGAGAAATAGATTCAATCCACTGTAGGGGGAGGTCCTGAGAAGGCAATGGGTGCAGATGAACCTTTCTTAAACAGGAAGGCTTGGAGGACTTCAGTGATGACTCAGTCTGTGAAACTTGGTTATATAATGCTAAATGAACAAATCTCAGTCCCAGGAGTCTTACATACACTGTGGTAGTTATCCTTTTACAAAGTACAAACCCAAGCAAAACTAGGCACGTCAGGTGTGCAAATAAAGGCAGGGATGATAAATATGAAATTCAGGTAAGGGTCACTTTGGGGGACACTGGGTATTGTGTATTAAAAAAGGAGCACATATTTTCAGATATTGATAACATTCTAGCTCTTGGTTTGGTCGATGGGTCGTGGGCTTTTCATTGCCTCATACAGCCACACATGGACCAATGCCAGGTGTGTCATGAACAAAGGAAAACATCATGTTTAAGCAAACTCTGGACAACTCCAGTTCATAAGCAAAGAAAAAGACAAGCAAACAAAAAACTCAAATGCACCATAGAGGCAGAGAAAGTCAAACAAGTGTTTTGGATTTGGTTATTAATTAGGAAATGGCTGATGGGCATTTAGTGGAGTTACTCTAGCAGCCAAGACTCAGTGGGTCCTGGTGTGGTGGGACTCCCTGTGCCAGAGACTCTCTGAAGTGGACTCTCTTTCTGTTGGGCTGTGTCTCTGGGGTTGGTCCTTGACGATGGAGCCCAGTAAGGGCCTTGGGGTACCTCTCAATCTATATGGGCTCCACTCCTGAGGGGCCTCACCCACCCTATTTCCCTGTGTCATGGGAACCATCAGAGATAGGAAAAAGTTTGTCTCCATTTTACAGACATGGGTGTTGGCTTTCAGAGTTATTAGGTCCCTGGCCTGAGGGCTACCGTTGGGTAAAATAGAAGTGGAATGGAGATCCATGTGCCCTGATCCTTGCAGGCAGCTAGTAGTAGGTGGGAGTAGGTAGGGAGTAGGTGAAAGTAGGCAGGAATAGTAGCTGGGAGTAACTGGGAATAGATGGGAGTAGCTGGGAGAGGCAATGACACAATGATTTGGGTGGGGGCAATGACACTTGTGTTGAGATTTGCAGGTGTATGAACTACTGGATGGAGGTGAGGGATGAACATCCAACAGAGGCAACATCAAGCCCCAGCAAGGAGGCTGGGCCTGAGTATGGAGGCAGGGCACTGCTTGGTCCTTGGTGAGGTGGGAGGGGCTATTAGAGATGTGGTTGAAGATGTGGGTGCACACAGCTAAAGTGTGATCAGGATGCCTTCACATTTGTTTTATAAAAAAAAATTTATCTATGAAGAATTGGCTATTTAGTGTTTTGCATCCTGTTTCATGTGCACGTTGATACACAAGAAACATAAATGCAGTACACTAGTTTTCAAACCGACTGTGCACTGAAACCCTAGAAACTTTAAAAAGTGATGATTTCCTCATCACTGGGCCCTCTCCGAAGATTGATTTTAATGGTGGGAGTGGCCTCGGTACTCCTTAAAACACCGTAAGTGCCTTTAACATGTAGCAAAATTTGAAAATCATTGATATGTTACTAGCACAGAATTAACAGTTTGGCAGTATATACTAACTTTTAATTTGAATAAAGCTTTTGCATCAATTTTCTATCTAGTCTTCTATTATACAGAAATAACTGTGTAATTTCATAAAGATATTGGAAAAGTATTGTCCACTACAGTACTGTTTGTAACAGCTGTAAATGAGAAACAAACCAAACAACCATCAACAGGCAGTCAGTTTAAATACAATAGGGTATATTCACACTGCAATGTTTCACATATTTATGCCTGTCTATGATTTCCTATACATTGCCACTTCTCATGGTCAAGAGCCCATCAGTCTTCTGGCTCTGAGACAAATGCCCACCTCTCTGCCCCTGCAGAAACTTGCTGGACATTGACTTGGGATTTTCACAAGAAGCAGAATATCTAAGAGCTCAGGGTTGCATGCACCCCTTCTGCTAAGACATGGTCTTGAGCATCAGGTGGGCTGAGTGACCCTCACCTTGGCAATTACAGCAGAATGAAGTGCTATTGGCCCAAACAGAGGGAGTCCAGAGGCCAAAATTTAGGAAGCTGGGGTCACTGCACAAGTGGGCAGGAAACTTCTGGGGGCCCCCACAGCTTGCCTGTTGTATGTGAACTGCCTGCACTGAAAGACAGTGGCAGTGTCACAGGTGCTGGATTACATCACAAAGTGTGACATGCCTGCAAGGGCATGGACAGGGAAGAGTATCAGAAGTGAGGGAGGCCCCTGACCAGGGCCTAGGCACAAACTGAGCACTAGAGAGCCAGGAGAACCACAGGCTGGGGCGTGGGCTATAGCCAACGGCAAAAGGAGGAGGGGGCAGTGACTGGGTGCAGCCAGCTGGAGAACACCTAGAGAGTTGGAGCCAGGAAACCTTGGAGCAGCAACATTTTTCACGGTCACATCTTACAGGCCTGAGGTACAAAAACAGGAGTGGGGGGTGAGGTGCACAAGGTAGTTGCTGGCATACCTGGGCCTAAGTGTTCTCCATGAACTGCAGACCACACCTGGGGTATAGAGGGCGGAAGGCTGGTGGCAGGGACTCTTTAACTGGCTTCTTGTAGGTTTATTTCCTTGGAGACAGGGATAGCCCTAAAGAGTGAACATAATGGCTCTTTCTTGAATGCAGCTGGGCTGATGCTATTGTAAGATCTTTGAATCTTTGGTGGCAGCAGAAATTGCACCCTACCTGCAGCTCCAGCCCTGAGAGGACGAGGAGGCTCACCTATGTCCCTGGACGGAGGGACCATGACCAGATCCTGGGGGTTCTGCTTCCTCCTGATCACCATTTTGGTGGCCCTGGTGGCCAGCACAGATCCAGACAAGAATAAAGTCAAAGTGTTGAGGGAATTAAAAGTGATCAATGCCTCAAATGCCAACGTGAAGCAGTGTCTGTGGTTTGCCATGCAAGAATACAACAAAGAGAGTGAGGATAAATACATCTTCCAGGTGATCAAGACAGTACAAGCCCAGTTGCAGGTAAAGGTGTTCTCTCCCAATATGTATATTTGCTATGGTGGCACAGACTGAAGCCATACTGAAAGAATGGGCTTGCAAGAAAAACAATGATACATGAAAGTTCTAAATATGTGAGTGCTCAAGTACATACTCACTTGCATGTCGCTATAACATCACTGCACTTTCTATATATGCTTATAGTGTTGTTCTAAGTACTTTATGTGTATTTATTCATTTAGACTCTAAACTGCAAATCAAATGTCCATGATTTGCATTTGCTAGTATTGGGAGACAAATTGAGTGCCATGAATATTTTGCAATAATGCTGCTGAAGGCAACATTTCAATCTAAACACATAGCGTGCATTGTGGGGTTGAAAAGAGACATGTGGCACTATTCAATATGTAAGTAATGAAGTCCTTCCTCCTATATTCTATAATTATTTGAATCCAACATTCATTTAGTGGAAGTACAGACATTCTGATTTAGTGTTCAGAAAAATGTATCCCTCCTCACATGACTATGCATGGTCCAAATGCTAGGAAGCATTGCTTACTTGGATTCCATTGAGGGTGACTTGAAACACATGGCCTTGGGGCGCCTGGGTGGCTCAGTCAGTTGAGTGTCCAGCTTCAGCTCAGGTCATGATCTCACGGTTTGTGAGTTCGAGCCCTGCGTCAGGCTCTGTGCTGACAGCTCAGAGCCTGGAGCCTACTTCCAATTCTGAGTCTCCCTCTCTCTCTGCTCCTACCCCGCTCATGCTCTGTCTCTCTCTCTCTCTCAAAAATAAATAAACATTAAAAAAAAAAGAAACACATGGCCTTGCCTGCCATGGTTGAGAAAAATCTCCCAAAGCTGGAATTCATCTGACGGTATCATCCTCAGTCTGTGGGTTGATGCTGTGGTTTGTAATTCCACCGTGAAACTTTTGGAAATGAATTTTAAAGATACTTACCAGAGACGTCATTGTTGGCTGAGTTTACTTCATTTTTTATATTCTCCATATGCCATGTTCATTTGCAGGAACTGAGCCAGTTTCTCTGTTGGTACTTCTGACTCTGTCTCTTTGGGACCATGTGAGCCACCAGCCTATATCTCCAGTACACTATGCTGATAGCACTCTGTTTATTGACTGGGTACACTGCATAATTCACCAGGGCACTCCTGCAGCCCTTTGAAATAGAGAATGGATTCTGACTCTTGTAGCTTCCCCAGGCCCCATAACAGTTGTCTTTCTTTGATATCCATGTAGCACATGCATTCAGCAAGTTTCTCTCAGCCACTTCTATGCTAACTGCTATAGATGGGGAGGTGAGATGGACGGAAATAATCACATTCCCAGGGAGCCAGCATTCCAGTCAGAAAGAAACAGCACTAAACCTGGAATGAAAGCTGGGGCATCTGACCTGGTGGCGTGGTACCTAGGGGTCTGGGGTTAGGGGAAGGCTTCCTCGAACAGACTCTCACCTGAGGAGCTTGTAAATATCCTACTGTACCTGCTGCATCATCACCAATTTAATGAAGATCCATGTGTGAGACCTAGGTCTCAATAGGCATTAAAACCTTCCAAGTGATCCCAATACACAGTCAAGGCTGAGAACCACCTCCCTAGGGTGTGTGTTTGAAGCTAAACCTGAGGGCAGACTAGGAGGGAATCAGGTGAAGGATGCTGGTGGGAAGTGTTTCTGTTTGGGTTTGCCACAGCAGATGCTAGTGCTAGAAGTCAAGTGCAAGTGGTTTATTTGGGAGGCCATCCTGGGAAGCACCAGGAGGTTGGAGGGGAAGGGAGGTGGGGGAAGTGGTCAGTACAGACAGAGTTACTATGCAGGTGACCACATTGGCCTCTGGGCTTGGTCTTCCTGGGGCTTCAGGAGAGGGTGCATAGCCTGGCTTGGAGTTGAGCCACACTATAAGATAGGAGCTTGGTTGCTTACGTATCAATTCCTGTCTGTCATTGGCTAAGAACTACTCTTGGCTTCTCCTGCTGGTCAGGAAGCCTCCAGGCAGGGAACCCTGGGAAGTGACAGTGTGTTTTGGGAACAGCAAGGCAAGGGCCATGGGCACCACTCACAGCATCTGCTGCAGGACAGGAACAGGGGGGATGGTGGGAAGGTGCACAGGGGTTGGGAAGATCAATCAGGCATAGAAGGCTGCCATTGGGAAGGAGCGTGGCCCACTTGGGCAACTCAAAGGAGCCAGTGTGACTGGTAGGGACCAGACCATGCAGGGTCTTGAAAGCCATGGGCAAAATCTTTTATTCTATCTTAGGAATGCTGAGATGCCAAATAAACATTAGGTCAGGGAGTTCTAGGGATCCATGTGATTACACTGTTTTTTTTTTTAAGTTTATTTATTTATTTTGAGAGAGAGTGTGTGCACAACTTGCAAGAGTGGGGGAGGGGCAGAGAGAGAGAGAGAGAGAGAGAGAGAGAGAGAGAAAGAGAGAATCCCAAGCAGGCTCTAACCTGACAGCATGGTGATTATCTTGACTGATAATTGGATAGTCACTTAGTTCCTCTGCTTAGTTTCCTTCCCTGAAAACATTGGTAGTGACAGCCTCACTTTGGGGGTTAGTGTGTGGGCATGTACCAAGGCCCAAGAACAGTGTTATGCAGGGAGCAAGCACTCCGTGAGCGTTAGCAAGTGTTAGGGCTTGATAAGAAGTGCTGTGGGTGTTTGGGTTTGCCTCCATGGTATTTTTGAGGTTCCATAAGGACCAACTTCATTCTCAAACCAGCAGCTATTGTTGTTATCTAACCAGCTTCTCCCATGCAGGCTAAAGTCACCTTGTTAATTCTTTGAAATGTAACTAAAATTTAATACCACTTTATTAAAGGCTGCAGATAGCAATGAAGAAAGACACTTCTTTTTTCCTCCTACTATAATCTTTTAAAACCAGATGAAAGTTGATTTAAACAGGCATAATGAGTAGCTTTAACCAGAGTCAGTCATTAATGAGTTCAGTAACTACTGATGCCTTGCTGTAGACCTATTGTTTGTCTGCTTACTAAACACTCAACAGAGAACAATATGACAAAATCCAACCAGCATGACACTTTTAAGGGTTGCTTCCTAAGGTGGGGGGAAGCCCTCCAAAGCAGGAGATGTCACCAGAAAACAGACTATGAAGGGAGGTGTGGGAAAGGAATCAGGGAGGGGCATCCAGTGTGGCCACAGGGCCTGTCCTCCTATCTGTTCAGTGTGAACCTGTAACATTTTGGGCTCAGGAGAGCTGATGGTTCTGGTGACTCATCCTTCTCCCACATCTCATGAAGCATGCCCTGGACTTTGGGACAGAAATAGAATTAGAAAGTCTTGCCTTCAAGGAGGCCCTACACTGAAAAGGAGACTTTTCCCTGAGCATACAGCTCCAGGTAGTGGTTTCCAATGTCTAACTGGTATCAGCATGCAAAGGAATCTAGGCAGTGGATGTCATAGACCTTCCTCTAAAGATATGTTTGAGAGAGAAGGGGTAGGGATAGGAGATAGGGAGAGAGGATGAGGGGGAGAGCATTTTTTTACGTTTTTTTTTTGGCTAAAACTTTAACAAAGTAAAGTAAGTTTTTTTTTTTTTTAATAAAATTGCACAATTGCTAATTGACAGGTCACAGATCGTTTGGAATACTTTATTGATGTTGAAATTGCCCGCAGCAATTGCAGAAAGCTTTCAAATGGTACTGAAAACTGTGTCATTGAAGAGAACACCAAACTGGAAAAGGTAGGTGACTAACATTCTGTGATGGTCTTGGCTGCTCTGAGCCCTAGTAAGAAGAACTTGGGGTGCACACACCCTCTCTCTAAGGTCTGGATCACTCCCCAAGTTTTTGTCTAGAGATGGGCAACCTTGTGACTTTTAGAGCAGAGGCAACAGAGTGATGGAATGTGGTGGATCCCTCTGAGTCTTTCCCCACCCCTCATCCTAGGGACAGAATGCTGTCAGGGTCATTCTTATTGTGAAAGCTTCATCAACTCTGGCCTCCTGGTGCAGAAAAACTTTCCAACACATGTTCACTGAAAGTCTATCCTCTTTGACCAAGATGAGCAACCTAACCATTGGTAGCCCCACAGTTGCTCATCCTTGTGAAGGCACAAAAGGAAACCTGTTCATTCACTTAGCTACTCACCAAAGCTTACTTTGCACCAGGTGCTATTTTGGGTGCTGAAGATTAAGCAGTGACTAGGCCAGACAGTGTTCCCATCCTTCCAGACCTACAGTTGATTCTTGCCAGGGTCAGCCATGATTTCCAGGAAGGTCATAGAAGAGCCCAAAGATCCCCACCAACGGGCTGACCTGACTCAGGAGCTTTTAGCATCAAGCCTGTATTTCTGATCTCAGAGGTGGGGAGAGCCCCAGATTCATGTAAGAGATTGGTGAAGGCCCCAGACTTTCTGCAGGTTTGACCAAGAGGTGTGTCTTTGCCTTTGTTTACACCAGTGGTTCTTTAAGTGAGCAGGCACCAGAATCACCTGGAAGCCTCGATAAACCCAGAAGACTGGGTCTTACTTGCAGAGTTTTGGATTCAGTATGTCTTCAGTAGGTCTGGAGTGGGATCCCAACATTTACATTCTTAACAAGTTTCCAGCCACTGCTGCTGCTGCTGGCTGTGGGACCATACTTGGAGAACCACTATTTCATGTAGCCATGGAACAGGAAATTGCAAGGGCCCATTAACAAAGTGTACTTCTGCTATGTCTCACTAAAGCTGACACTGTATGCTCAAACTGAACAAATCTAATCATTTCCAGTTAATAGTAGACACCTATCAGGGCAAACATTTAAACAGGGAGTATGTCTTCATGCCATCTGGCTTTTATGTTACTTTTCTTTATCTTTTACTGTTAGTAGAAGTATGGGTGATTCAAATTTATATTCTCTACAGAGCCCATTAGGATTATAGAAAAGTTGTTCCTTTTTTACCTGTTTATAGAAAATCTTAGCATTAAGGAGAATTGTCCTCAAGGAGCTCACTTATTTTATCTAAAGCTTCCATGGACCATCCCAAATTTTAAGGTGCATGTTTTTAAGCACACACATTTGTCAATAATGAAAACTATTTTTTTTTTCTTTCCAAGTCTTTGGAATAACACTGAAGAATAGTAATGCTGGGAAGTTTTTCTTATTCCTGGCTTTGATTACGGTGCTTTCAGTATTTATATCTTATTTTAAATATTATACCAAGTGCTGATTTCTGGAATTCTTCCAATTCCTTCTGCCAAGAGTTATTTTTTTTTTGAATTAAGAATGTTTCATCTATCAATTATTCTTTCAGTGTCTACCAAGTATATTGAATAATTGTTCTTCTTTGATCCATTAGTGTAATAAAATAATGAATTCACTAATAGTCATTCTTACATGTCTAGAATATGGCCTTTTTTGAAGGAGACTTTATAGCTTGGATTGTCAGTGGTTTGTTCTCCTCCATGTTGACTGACTGCAGGTTGTTCAAAGTGGTGACAATTACATAGGTAACTGATATATAAGCTTGTTCAGGGAATTTCTACCTTCATTAAGTCTTTTGGACAATTGCACATGAATATGGCATGGCACACTCCTTATTCTTTTGACCCAGACAGCTTTGCTGAGCTTGGTGTCAATATGCACATTCATCTCTTTCACGTCAAATTTGTAGCTCTCTCTGAATTTTCTGGGGGCACACTTCTTGAAGGTCACTCCATAGATGTTTTATGAACATGGATGGTGTATTCTCTGGTCACATCATTGATGCCAGAACAGTCTTTCTTCTTGCTGCCTTTCTTTGTGGGAGCCATTCTGTTAGGCCCAGTTTGGAAATGAAGAGCATGATGGATTGTCTACCTTTGTCTTTTAGAACATGGTGGGATTTGGGGGTGGGGGGAGGAGTTAAGATGGTGAAGTAAAGGGGACTGGGATTTTCCTTGTCCCTCAAACATAGCTGTATTGAGATCACATCACCTGGAACACCAGGAAATAGATCTGCAGAGTGGCAGAAGGATCTCCACAGTTGGACAGCTTGGCAGGGTCAAGGTGTGTGTGTATGTGAGTTGGGGGAGATAAAACAGAAAACTTATGAAGGAGAGGGAACCCTTTCTGTGGAGACACAAAAGGGAGAGAGAGAGGGGTTGTGAAAGTGTGGCATTGAGTTAGCACAAGAGGAAAACCTCTTTGGGCCATACACCAGGGAGCGAGAAGTACCGAGTGTACTAGTTCTTTTTTGCAAACAGCCTTTAGAACTGTTTCAAAATTCCAAGGTTTTGAAAGTGTGTGACTTTTTCCAGAGTGGATCCATGGCACGTGCTCCTGGGGAGGAGGGAGCTAGCCCTGGAGTACATAGTGTGGATCAGCAATCTCCGGGGTGCACGGGAGAGAACAGTCTCCTTCCTGGAGTGCTTTGGCAAGAGGGTTTATTGTCTCCCTAAGGACAGAACCCCTGCAGATGCCAGCCAAAGGCCTTTCATCAGCAGGGTGGAAAGCCTCTACTCCAGAGGAGGGGCGCAGGTCTGCACTATGCCAGGTCCTTTAAGACTTCAGGTTTTGAATCCCAGCTGAATGCCAAGGACAAGCTGCAGGAGAATTGTGGCACAGGGCAAGCTCACTGCCCTTGCTATTTTTTGAAGGCTACCTGAAGAGCAGGATTGAGACACCTGGTCTGGGAAGGAGAGATTGGGATGATGCCATTTTCCCCCCAACATCAGCAGGGTGGGACTTCGTAGAGCAGCACAGTGGCCCCCGGTGGAGGCAAGACACCAAACACTGCTTCTCTGTGCCTGACTAATGCTGATTTATTGGGTCAAGACTGAACCAAAGCAGCTGGCCTCTCCTCCAGACCAGCAGAGCCACCAGCCCCAGGCACCAACAGGCAACTCTTTCTTTTCTCCCTTTCTTTCCTCCATCTTCTTTTTTTCTCTTGGAATCAGGCTCATAGTTTCTGACTTTTTTTGTCATTTCTTATTTTATATATAAGAAAAATTTTAATATATTGTATATATAATTTTATATATTATATATAGGCTATATATAATATATATAATATGATATATTATATATAAATTATATATAATACATATAATACATATACATAGTACATATAATACATATATAATATTATATATAATATATATAATACATATATATGTATATATACATATATATGTATATATACATATATAATATTATATATATATATCTCAGTCTTTTCTATTCTTTTCCATCTTTTCTATTTTCTTCTGCCTTTTTTCTTCCCTTCTCTTTCCCTGAAATCAGTCATAGCTTTTTGATTCTCTGTTTGGTTTTCTTTTCTCCTCTTTCCTTTTTCTGTTTTTATGGGATCAGCCTCACTCTTATTATCCAGAGTTACTTCAACAAATCAAAGCACACCCTAGTTAAAGGTCCAAATACTCCACCACTGCAAGTAAGGAGGAACTGTCCAGAGGACTGACCAGTGGGATAGAGTAGCCAAAACACAACAGCAGAGTGCACACAGTATACACCAGAAACACTTCTGGAGTGCCAGGCCCTGAACAGAGTATGACCCCTTTTTAATACAGTAGTACTCTCAGGTGCAGGACACATAACAAGCTTTTAAAAAATGCCAAAGACAGAAACTTAGCCCAAATGGCAAGACAGAGGAATTATCCCTCAAAGAAAAGTCAAGAAGAAATAACAGCCAAATTATTGCTCATATAACTGAATAAGAATTTAAAACAACAGTCATAAAACAACATATTGGCTTGAAAAAAGCATTGAACGCACCAGAGAAACCCTTGCTGCAGAGATCAAAGACCTAAGAACTAGTCAGGATGAATTAAAAAAAAATGCTTTAACGTGAGATGAAAAATAAACTAGATACAGTGACAATGAGGACTGAAGAAGAAGAAGAGAGAATAGATGAAATAGAAAATATGGAAAATAATGAAGCTGAAAAAAAAAGGGAAAGGAAATTACTAGATCATGAGGGGAGAATTAGATAACTAAGTGATTCCATGATGCAAAACAACATCTATATCATAGGAGTCCCAGAAGAAGAAGAGGGAGAAAAAGGGACAAAAGGTTTATTTGAACAAATTGTAGCTGAGAACCTCCCTAATCTGGGGAAGAAAACAGGCACCAAGTCCAAAAGACATAGAGAACTCCCTTCAAAATCAATAGAATATGGTGAGATTCAACATGCTACTTTTTTTATTTAGGAATTTTGATTATATATACATTAAGTACTCTTAAAACTTCCCTAATGTTAAAAAATCAGGGGTGCTTGGCTGGCTTAATTGGTAGCGTGTGTGACTCTCGATCTTGGGTTGTGGATTTGAGGCCCTCATTGGGTGTAGAGATTACTTAAAAAAAAAAAAAAAAGAATCACTTGCAGCATGTGGTGAACACACACACACACACACACACACACACACACACACACACATTCCATGACCTCATCCCAAACCTACTGAATCAGAATTTTCAGATACAGACACTCCACATATTTCATATCACTGGGAATGTCTGAGAAACAGTGCATCAGGGACATTAAATATTTAATATGTAACTGACTTTAATTTGCTAGTATTTTGTTTTAAGATTTTTGTTTTAGATACATTTGAGCTTTTTAGCATTTATTTTCGAGAGAGATAGAGAGCATGAGTGAGGGAGGAGCAGAGAGAGGGAGACACAGAATCTGAAGTAGGCTCTAGGCTCTGAGCTGTCAGCACAGAGCCCACAAACCGTGAGATCATGACCTGAGCTGAAGTTGGATGCCCAATTGACTGAGCCACCCAGGCACCCCTCCATTATATATTTTTTAATTAAAAAAAATTTAAAATTTAAATTCAAGTTAACATACTAACTGTAGTCTTGGCTTCAGGAGTAGAACCCAGTGATTCATCTCTTACATATGACACCCAGTGTTCATTCTGAAAAGGTACCTTCCTTAAGGCCCATCACCCGTTTAACCCATCTTCCTACCCAACACCCCTCCAGCAACCCTCAGCTTTTTCTCTTTATTTAAGAGCTATATTTTAGTTTCAGGATTTTTCTGGTCTGGAATAATAAGAATGAAGGCTCTCCATCTTTTGTGTGTGTGTTGTGATCAATTTAGAGATCATGGGAGCTTTTGGTTCCCAAGATTTGGTATAATTTGTCTATAAAGCCATCTTGGTTTGATATTTTTTGTCTGGGTTTCTGGGGGAAAAGGCCTCTTTAGTCCTTCTTTGCATGTGTTCAATATTCAGCAGACACCAAGCTTCCCTTCTCTGACTCCTAACAGCTTATTGGGAGTACTGCAATGCTTCCAGGTATTTAGGATGCTCTTTGCTGTTTTTCCAGGATTTCTATATATGTATGATCTCTCTCTATCTATCATCTATCTATCTATCTATCTATCTTCTATCTATCATCTGTAATCTGTCTATATATCTACTTATCTATCCATCCACCCATTGATCTATCACACACACATAGAATATTCATTTATTTCAATAGTATTTTGAAATGGAGAGAAGAGGGGCACCTGGGTGGCTCAGTCGGTTAAGCGTCTGACTCCGGCTCAGGTCATGATCTCATGGTTTGTGAGTTCGAGCCCCGCGTCAGGCTCTGTGCTGGCACCTCAGAGCCTGGAGTCTGTTTCGGATTCTGTGTCTCCCTCTCTCTCTGGCCCTTCCTCTCTCTCTCTCTCTCTCTCTCTCTCTCAAAAGTAAATAAACATTAAAAAAATTTTGAAATGGAGAGAAGAGCTCTTTGGAATAAAAGATGGTAAGTGCTAGAAACCCTTTAAACTGGTCTTGTTTAAAGACAATGTCTTGTAAAAGACATTATTTAATTAAGATAATATATGTTAGTTTATATCTGACATAAAATTGCTTTATTTACATTGTGGAAAATATTAAAGGGAATTAAAATCAATTTTATATCTGATCTCCCAGAAAAACACCATGATTGTTAGTATTTGCTGTGTATCCATGGTTGGTTTGGGAACAGAGACCCTTCCAGGTATCTGCTGTTGGTTAGAAACATCTAGCAGATTCCTGGGAGCATTCCTTGATGGCTGGTGACCTATTGTCTAGCATATTCCTAAGCTAACACCTAGCAACAGGACATTTTTTTTTCTTTTTGGCATTACTGATTTTGTTGTGGTTGTGGTCTTTTTCAGAAAGTAATGTGTAGTTTTCTGGTCGGAGCACTCCCCTGGAATGGTGAATTCACGGTGATGAAGAAGCAGTGTGTGGATGCTTAGGGGGTTCTGGAACTCGCCCCTACCACCATCTCTACCTTTCTCTGTAAAGAGAAAAATGGCATGCACTGGTATTACCATTGTGGTTTCCTCATGCATGCCTCTCTGCTTGTTTTGTTTCCTAGTTTCCTAGTTTCTTATTAGGTGATGACAAAAGATGGGTATGTCCAATTCTTTTTTTTTTTTTTTTTTTTTTTTTTTTTTTTTTGCCTCAAGGGAGGCCCCTTGACTTTGGCCAGCTTGGTGGCTCACCACCAGGAATAAGTTTGTCCCTGACTACAAAGTTTGGAGTGAAGTATGATTCCATTCTCACTGCAAATCTGAGGAGGGATCCCTTTTTGATTAGGTAACAACTCCTTCCAGAGGTCTTAAGCCAGTGGGTGTTAGCTCAGCAGGTTCCTTCTGGATACCTCCTTTAACCTGAGGCTCCTTCCTCCTGAGGGTCCTGAGCCCACAGGTCACCTGGGTTGGGAGAACCCCTTTGGAGGAACAGTCTTTCCCTTCAGGGTCTCTGTGAAGTAGGGAAAGTGTGTTTCTTCTCATGTAAATGTCAACAGTGGTCATACAGAGAGAGGGGGAGGGCAATAATGCCTTCATAATAAGCTGCATTGTTGTTGTTGTTGCTGTTGTTGTGTGTGTGTAGAGATAGAGAGAGACTGAGAAAGAGGGAGGGAGGGAAAGAGAGAGAGAGAGATGATTGGGAATGTGGAGAAGGAAATAGGAAAACAGGGATGATAGCAGGAGATGAAATTCTCTTGAAGAAAATCATCATTAAAAATAAGTCTGTCTAGGGGTTCATGGGTAGGCTCAGTTGGCTAAGCATCTAACTCTTGATTTCAGCTCAGGGTATGATCTCACAATTGTGAGATTGAACTCTGCATCAGGCTCTGTGCTGCGCATGGAGCCTGCTTGGGATTCTCTCTCTCCCTCCACTCCTCACCTGCTTGTGCTCCCTTTCTCAGAATAAATAAATAAACTTAAACAAGTCTGTCCAATGGGGAATTATTTAATGGGTACTGAGCTTTGCAAGATGAAAGGGTTGTGGAGATTAATTACAGAATAGGGTGAATATACTTAATACTACTGAACTGCACATTTAAAAAGGGTTAAGATGGTTGGGGCACCTGGGTGGCTCAGTTGGTTAAGCATCTGACTCTTGATTTCTGCTCAGTATATGATCTCAGAGTTCATGAGATTGAAAGCCCCACATGCAGCCCCACATAGGGTTCTGCGCTGATAGCACTGAGCCTGTTTGAGATTCTCTCTCTTCCTCTCTGCCCCTCCTCTGCTTGCGCTCTCTCTCTCACACTCTCTCTCAAAACAAATAAACTTTAAAAAAATGGTTAATATGGTAGATTTTATGTGTACTTACCATGATTAACATTTTTAAAAAATAAGTAGATATGGCTGTTTTAACTGTGGTGTTGGGTGTGATTGCAGAGGCCAAATAAGTTTCAAATGTGGACATGCACCGGCCAGGCTTCACATCACAGGGCCTGGCAAGTGGTAGGGATTGCAGTATTTCTGCCCCAGAGTGAAAGAGGCCATGAAACTCAAAGGCCATTCCTTTTGTCTCTAGTCCCTGTGTTTTACCTAATGGATGTTTCACATGTGAGAAAACATACCATTTGGAGTGGCAGGGGACAAGTGACATTCACCTTGCAAAGACCTTGCTCTTCCTCTGGCTGTCTCTGCTCTCCCCTCATCAGCCCCCCATGGTTCTCTTCCAGGCACACCCACCTCCATGCCCACTTTTCTCTGAGGAAGTGCTGCCCTGCTTTCTCTTCCCCTTCTCAATATCCTTATTAGGGTTTGGATCTTAAACATATTTTTGCATTACTTGGATTTACTTATTACAGGACATACTTATTATAGGACCGTACTTATCCTGATTAAAAAGGGTTCTTTGCTTTAGGCCAGGAGATCTCCATCAAAAATCCCTCCCACCCCACCCCTCCACCTTGGATACACTGATGGAACACCCCATATGAGAGCAGCAGACCCAGCACCCAGTTTTGGGGGGCTTGCAGGACGGGTCAGCTTACAGCTTTGTGGGTCTCTGCTGTTTGTGGAACAGTGTAAGTACATGTAAGTATCTTAGGAAAGACTGTTTTTGGAACAACATTGTGGAATTGTCTTTTCTTATGGGCAGGTGGGCAAGAAGCACAGGGAATCAGACATCTGGAGTAGGCAGGACCAGAGACGTGCTTTGTGTGCACATGTGCTTATGTGCAGGGGTCTATTTCTAAGTATATTTTAATTAACATTAAAGTTTTATTTAATTTAACCTCATCTCTTTTCAACCTATCTCTCCAAATCTCTTTTATTTCCTCTCTTTAAACATTAAATAAAATGCAAGGCTTTCCTTTGCTGGATTTCATGTCCTTTTTGCTAAGATGTTATTGTGCTCTCGCTCTCTCTCTCCAACACACACACACACACACACACACACACACACACACACACGTTCACTTCCCCTGTGGAGGAGGAGAGGAGTCCCCCAAGCTAGTGTCTGAAGTCTCCACTAGGTTCTACTAAAACTCCACCTGTAGGGCCTAGACCCCAAGGTCTGTCTGGGTCTGGGACACAGGAGCACTAGGGCCATGGGAGGCCATGGACATCTGGGAAATGGGGCTTAACCAGAAAAGCCACATGGCCTTGGATGCTGCCCAGGCTCAGCACTGATTTCGGCAGTGGCGGGGGGCGGGGGTGGTGTCCCATGCCCATTCTTGCAGGGTGACCAGTCATGGACATTCTGTGTGTGAAAGCAAGGAATGAATGCATTTAGTCCAATCCTGGGCTGGGTGATTGACACCCCACAAGCTAGTGGGAAATGAGGTCAGAGGCAGGGGCCTGCCAGGACCAGAAGTGAGTGCTCTGGGGACACATGGACAGCAGTGGAAGGGAGCTCAGGGCCTCAGACCTAGGAAAAGGCCAAGTGGGCCATGTGGAGAGTGCAGCCTGGTCTTGCTCTCCATCTCAGAAGATGTGAGCGTTGTCCCAGATCTGTCACTTTCTATTGTAGTACCTTTACCACTGAACCTACTCTTGGTCTGTACACCATGATCTGGGAGAGCATCTGGACTACCTGGCTCCCAAGGCCTGCTGGAATGGAAGCAAAGTCATTTGCCATGTGAGCCTTCTATGAAGTTGGTACATCTAGATACAGTAGATGTATTTCTAGTGTCTCCAGAGGAGTCAGGGACAGTTGATCAAGACCCAGGGACAGATGGCAGCTGGTGAGAGTGTGGGAAGTGTGGAAGGGCACCATCTCCATTTCCATGCTCTGTGGTGGGGGCTTCATGGGGGTGGGCCTCCTGGCCAAGCTCTGGAAATGGACCCAAGGCTCAGAGAAGAGGCTGGCCCTCTTCCCCTCCCCCAGTGCCATGGTCTTCACTCCTTGCCTTCTCTCGTTCTCTGTTAAAAAAAAAATTACCTGAAACTTAGAATAAGCTACAGAGAAGTCAGCACGTGTTTTCCATGCTATTTTGAACATTGTTCAGTGGGTCTAATGGGGATTATTGAGTTATCCAAGGAATGTAACTCTGTTTGATGTTCTGTTCATTATTGAGTAAAGACCAGACTCTGAAGTTATATGTTTACTTGTGGGTCTTTTTGTCCCTGAGAGGTGCAAATGATTATTGTCTAATAGAAAATTTCACCCCACTGGTTATGGTTTTATTGTTCTCTGAGAAATAAGTTCATTTTGTAACTAACCTAGGAATTCCCCCTTGACATTCTATATTTGTGAGTAAGTGGATCAGGTTTGTAATCTTCTGAAAATTATGTTTTGACACTTCAATGTGACCCTCCCAAAGTTCTCCACATGCCAGACATTGGGTATATCCCATAGCATTCAGGACCTGCTGCCCTCTCTCTTTGAGTTCCATCCATCACCAGGTTGACTCAGGGAGACTCTGAAATAGGCCTCCTCACACACCTACCAGTTGCCATGGAGGGGAGAAGTGGTCAAGACCACAGTGATAAATAAAAATATTAGTGAGTCAAAAACTGTCCTGATGGATGTAAACACTGGCCCCTTGTTCAGTGGCTTAGAAGCTGTCAGGAACACCCACTAGTCAGCTGGGAGTCCAGAGAAAGTGACACCAAGAATGTCATATTTGGCCCTTGCTAAATACCTCCTCCTATCCAGGTAGTTAGGTAAGGTTTCACACTGCCTTTATTGCCCCCCCCCCCATTGCAGATAGGGACTTTTGGTTTATGAACTTAGGATGCCAGGAGGCAAGAAAATGAGCAACCTGCTCTTGGAGCAATAGACTTTCCTGTTTTCCGGTTCCAAACTTTTCAGAGTTTTTTTTTTGTTTATTTATAACACACATCTGGATTCCCCAGAAACAGAGACATTATGAGTGAACACCAGAGAGCTCTGACTACAAGTCCCATTGTCCTGAAGAGCCATATTTCTTCCCTGCTAACCTGATTCCTAGGGATTTGTCACCTGCACCAACGGTGTAGCTAGACTACCCAGGTGCAGCTGGCAAAACCCCAAATATGAGAGTCAAAGACTCAGGAACTAGGCCTTGTGCCAGAGATAGGGTGACAAAAACCTCAGGGCCCCATAAAAGCCATTTCTTATTGTCAAATTAGCCACTGACTTTGATTTTGAAAGAGAACCACACTAGTGTATCCCTGTAAGCTGCTGGAAAGCCAGCATTTGCTGAAGCATGGGTCCAGAACACCACATGTCCAGAGTAGAGATCTGACCAGACCATGTACATTGAAAATTGCCTTCACACACACACATCATTTTAAAAATAAAATTAAATAAAACAGAAAGGATGGTGCAGGGATGTTCTAGTAAACTAGTAAGTGTCATTGAGGTAGTTTTCATGAGGGAGAATTTAATGACCCAGAATCTGGCTCCCACTGCAAAAAGAACACATTGCCTTCTTAAAAAGAAGATGAAAAAAGATTATTCAGCTTTTGTGGAAAAAAAAAGAAACGACAAAAACCAGTTTCCCCTGGCAAATGTCAAACTTGTA